TCGAATTTCGGAAGTTGGTTCCGAGAAATCCGCTTCGCAAAACAGAGGCTCTCGCACCCGTTACGATTTGGAATCCCCTGTTTTTGCGCCGCCACATCAGAAGACGCCAGGGCTCAGAATTTTCATCACCGTCCCTCTGAACTACAACGCCGCCGGAGGGAAACCGATCAAATTGTCTCGCCGTTGTTCCAGTCCCGGTCGACACGTCGGAAGCCCCACCCTTCGAGGGGGATTTACACTCCGATCTACAATCTATTACTTCATGGGGACTAATCCCCTCCCGAAGGGAATACACTGAGCTGGGCCATCCGAATGGCATTGGATACCACTCCCAGCATTCGATTGCTGCTTCTTCTCCCCTGCGAACAGGGCTATGTCCGATTCCTCCAGTTCCGACGAAAGGGGAAGGTAGAATCGCCATTGAATTTTTAGTACTCTCCATCGTTTCTTCAGGGGTTGTTCCCCAGTGACCCCAATCCCCGCACTTAGTGACAACCACGATCTCTTCGCCAGGCAGCGCCGCCGTGACTCGCAACCGTCTACCCTCCGAGATTTCTTCTCCGGCGTAGGCCTCGTGACAGGGCCGCCGTCTCCATTAATTGGGAGAACGGTCCATCCCATTTCCTGGGTAATTCCCAGCAACGAATCTCCACCACCATCGACGCCCTGTTGATTTCGCCAACTAGCTTCGAAGACGGTGGTGGCGGCCCGAGCAAACCAGCTCCCGAGCAGCGAACACCAACAGAGGAGAGAGGAGAGAGCGCCTCTCATCTCTTTTTTTTTTTTACTGTTTCTGTCAATTAATTATGTTATTTATAGTTAATTTATGATTTGCTTCAATTTTCTTGAGTTTTCTAGATTGGTGTTGAACAATTTGTATAGTTAATTTGTGATTTGCTTGAATTTTCTAGAATGGTATTTTAGATATGGATAATTTGTATTGAGAGATTGATATTTGACGTTAATTTTTATAGGAATTTGTTATTGTAAATTTTTTACGACAAAAACCCGTGGGTACCCATAAACCTACCCTGGGTTTTTTCACAAATAAACCCACGGGTTTGGGTTTGGGTTTGGCAAAACCCGACCCAACCCGACCCATTGCCATTCCTAAGTGCAAGGATGTATATACCAACGGTCACACAGTGGATCTTACTACAGCTGATCAGTACTTTCTCCATGTCCCTGTCATTTCAAGTTTTGTCCACACAAGCCAGCCAGTAGCCATTTTTCTCTCCACCATCACACTGCGAACTGCCAAGTCCGAAGTCGGAAGCTTTTCATTCTGCAGTGCGCAGAGCTAGCAAGGGCACGAGCTTTTCTTTGCCTGTTCACTGTTTGCTTGCTGCTTCGCCATTTGAAGAGGTGAGTTAGAAAAGGAAGCAAAAAAGCCGAAAACCTAGTAGTAGTTTCGTTCCCTCTTCAAGTTGCCATCCTTCCGAAAATTCTCCGTCCTCTTATTCATGTTCTCTTCTTTCTGTTGTGCAGTAGTTCATTCCAGCGGGAGATGACTTCCGTTATTTCGAGCTTGCCTCCTCTACCACCATTGCTAGTCCGTGGAAGGCAGAGCACTTTCGTAGCTCCCCAACCTCTCCCAGTTTCTCAATTGAACGGTGAGTCGTCGTGGCTCACAGTTTTCTGAGCTACCAATTACGGTTATTTCCTGTTTCTATCGGTAGGATTAGTTCCCATATGGGGTTTGTAATGAATTCGTAGCGTACATTTTGAGTTAGCAAGTTAATTATGAAAAAAGAGCAAGTTGGGGGAATTGACAATCGAGTAGAACTAGCCAACTTCTTTCTTTCATGTCATTTGTTTACATTGAATCCTTCGTTTCCCCTCTATGATTAGAATTGATAACTTGAACCCCGGGAGCTTGAATTATCGGTGGCAATATTGTGATGTTGGGATTTCACTATGTTGATGAAAGTAGTCACTATCAGGCTTCAAATGTGTGTTTCACTTTGTTGGATGAAAGTATTTACAAATCTGAATATGGATTTATCAGTCTACCAATATGTCTAGGCATATACAGTCTGATTTTAGATTTTCAGGTAAGCAAGTGCATGCACTTTCATCAATGGGTAGATGGCATTGCCCTATCTAACAATTTCTACTTGTCGTGGATATAGCTTCATCGGATACTGCCGAATTCAAGTTAGATGCGTCGATTTCTTGAAAAATGGTGTTCCCTTTCTAAAAAGGTTTTTTTGCTGAAGTTATCTGTCCTTTTGTCAGGGACTTTGTTTATCATTGCTCTTCGTAAGTGGTTGCGACTAGCACCAGTTTAGTCGAGAAGATGACTCTTTCACCCCAGTTGTACTTTCATTTATTGTATGGGAACTGCCTCACTTGGTAGCTTGTAAGATATTCAAGTTAAATTATGCAGTGTTTTTTAATGATAACTTATCTTGGAGACATAAATTCGAGCATTACTAAAACAAATCCAGTCTCATGGAATCCATGTGCTTGATATGAAACTTATTATGGTGGTATTGAGCTTTCTTGATTGTTCTTGACCTTGCCTTCTCAGGGAAGCATAACCGCGCTGCTGTGGTTTCAAAAGCCACTGGAGAAAGTTCTGATTCATCAACCTCCCTCAATATTGCTAAGAGCGTACAGAGTGCCGTGGGTCCTCTTTTCCACTTCCCATGTCTATCTGATTGATTTTCATGTTTCTTTGGACAACGAAGAAAGTTTGTGCTTCCAAGACTGTTGGCACTTCATACTGTGCAAACTCCAACAAAGGCCCTCTTCGCTTGGTTACTTGTGTTACTCCTGACTCGAGCTGAATATTATTGTTCTTATAACATATTTGCTCTCTCTGCTGCAGTGGGATAAGTCTGAAGATCGGGTGGCTATCATTGGTCTGGGTTTTGCAGCTGTTGTAGCACTTTGGGCATCAGCTAGTCTCATAGCAGTAATTACACCCTTCTCAGTTCTCAAACTTTTTTTTAGCTTTGAGTTACTTGGTCCATTCCCAGATTAAAGGCCTAGGAGCTTTGATCATGGAGTGGCAATGTGATAGCTGTTTGAAGCCCATATTTTCTTCATCGTTAGCCGACTTCTTTCTATGAACTTTGATCAACAAAGAGAACATCCTAATTGCCTTTGTTTTGGATTTTGTTTCCTGTGCATGAATAGGCTATTGACAAGCTGCCAGTATTCCCAAGTCTATTGGAACTTGTTGGCATACTTTATTCAACTGTAAGTATCTTAAGACGCTAAATGTGACACATTTGTTCAAAACTTTGTGGTCTTTCCTTCTTTCCTTAAAACTTCTGTAAACGTGGAATAACCAAGCAAATTATGATTCTCCCTATACTAAGTTATATCTGCTACGAGTATTAGTGCTCACTGGAATGTTGTGACCCATTGCAGTGGTTTGTGTATCGGTATCTTCTATTCAAACCCAACCGGTAAGCAAAGTTTTGTAATTAGATTTTGAATTACCTTACTCTGAATTTTGTTGTTGGAATGGATCTGCAGAAAATTCACTATCAATTCTTTGTTCAATCTCAGAGAAGAACTAGTCGAGATCATCAACAAGTCGGTGTCAGATATATTAGGGCAGTGATCATGCTGCCAAAATGAGTGAAGTGTGATGTAATGAAAGATGAGTATATGTCCCTATTTGTTCAAAGATATCAATATTGGTTGGCATGACAATGATGTCAAGGCAGTAACATATTCTCTTTGATTCTGCGTGAATTAGAACTTTGAGCTGAGGCTTCTCTAGAAATCTCTCTGGTTCTTGACTTCTGAGTAGGGATGTAAAAAATATCTACACCTCTGGATATCCGCCCGAAACTAACTTAATTGGGTAGGGTAAATCCGAACACAGAAGGATTTTCGGTGGATATGGGTAAAACACTAATTTGAATATTGTGAGTAATAAATAGACATGGTTTTCTCACTATACAACTCGAAATTGTTCCGATCATGTTTATGTGCATGTAATTTATCTAAAGATGGTATTTATTGTTGTCTTATTTGATATTTTCTATACATATATGAAAATTTCATAAAATGGTGCTCTTCAACTAATTATATTTTGTTCGATATATATATTAGTTATGTAATGTCAATGTACATTTAATTGTTAACATGTTTGTTGAATTTATGAAAAAAATTTATTACTCACGGATATCTGAAAATTGGATTGGGTGTGGACGTGATTTTGATTTTTTATACAATTCTTGTGTGGATATGAGTATAGATAAAACCCGAACTACTTTGGGTAGGGTGATGGATATACATTATATGCCTCGACCCAATATGTTGCCATCCCAACTTTTGAGTTAATGTTGATTTTTTAAGTGAGGGGTATGCTTGTCATCTTTAAAAATTACTATGAGAACACGTGTGCGTTGCTGCTCATTTATTCTGCGTTTTGTTCTGACCACGAGTATCATGAAGTATATAAAAAAATGGGTAAATTGCAAGTTTGGTCATTGGAATTACTTTAAAAAAAATTCACTTTTGCTACTAAAATTAATTTATTCCATACGTAGTCACTTAAATTAGTCCAACAGTTCAAGTTTCATCACTCTCTGTTAGTCTTTGTTAATTTTCCTGACGTGACAGTCAACTTTAATTGTTGACCATTAAATGATTGACAGGGCAATTTAAAAACAATATTTTAATTTTCCAAATTATTATCAATATTATTAAATAAATGAAAAATATATCTAATTATCTAATTGAATCATCAATACCCACCCCTCACTGTCGTAGCTCTTTTCGATCACTCTGAGTTGCAACCCACTGTCAAAAAAACTCAAGTTTACAGAAAACTATCTCAAAACTTTGATTTTTTCTTGTTTCTCTTTCTTTGAAGCTCTTTTGCTGGGCTCATTGAAACTCCTTGAAGAAGAAGGGTTCGGAGCAGAACGACGGAACGAGCTTCCCGCCTGCGGAGCCAAAGCTATGCGTCAACGGGTGTGGGTTTTTTGGTTCGGCATCCAACATGAACCTCTGCTCCAAGTGCTACTGGAAATATGGGTCTCCGAGGAGGAGGCGGCGTCGGCCAACTCCGCCATGGAGAAAACCCTCAGCTTCAAATCGAAGATGCCCGTGTCGGAAGTGAACCGATAGTCGCAGACATAAAATCTGCAGCGAGGGCGGCGGAACATGTGATTGCTCTAGAGAAATCATCGGCAACGGCGGGTCCGTCATCTTCGGGGCGGTGGTTGCGGTGGCAGCGGAGGTGGTTGAGGTGGCGAATAGGTGCTTCTCCACCCACACCTCTCACTCCTTGTTTTAACTTTTAAATACTTGATTCGTTGCTGCCCCTACAAATTACTGTCGCAAATCCAATCCGTCGATCGTCACTGATTGGTGGATCAGTTCTTCGATGGGGTCGGCGTTCTCAGAGCTTCAAGAAACTCCGGTATTGAATTGGGTTTATGGTGGTGGAGAAAAAGAAGAAGTAAGAAAGAAGCAGAGGATAATCATCAACCATTAGGAAGGCATTGTGTGCAAGATTCTCTTCTTTGTGTAAGCTAGAAACTTTTACAATTTGTGTTAGAATAGAAAAAGAGGTTCTCACGTGAGTGGCAACCGATCAAAGAATTGACATCAACCGTCAAAGGATTGTTCTCTTGGCTCGGAGTGCCCATATAGGATGTGTTTGGGGTTGAGATAGCTTTATTGCGTCCCGATCATCTCTTACTACTTACCATCCCCCCACATACCTCTCCTCACCGAATCGTATGATAAGGACCAAATGTACCTTTTAGTTCATGAGACCTCATAGCTCTCGTTTGTACCCAACATGTGTGGCAACCCAATGTGGAGTGCAGGCTGAGACGTGGTGCTCGGGCTAAGACGAATTCGAACATCAACTTCCCCACATGTGACCTTGAAAGGAAAGGCTATGATTCTTACGCTCCTGGTCATGAGGGAGAGATACTATTATGCAAAGAAATTTGCAAAAGTTCGGTGCAATGTGCATGAACGAAGAAAAAGGAGATTAAAAAATGACAACTCACAATCATAAGAGAGAATTAAAGCACCTTTACAGTTCATTTGCTTCATGTTCTTTGAGAATCCCCCGGAGCACACCTTGAATGTTCGGCTTAGAGTAGTAAGTATGTTCCTCACCCGGGAGTTTGTGATTGCACAGTAGGTCGACAGTAACGTTAATTCGCACCCTGTTACTCCTCTTTATGCAATGAAGACTTGGAGTGCATTGCTCATTATTTTGTCTAACATGATGCATTAGGTTTGAGTAGGTTTGCTTGGGGACAAGCAAACACCTAAGTGTGAGAGAGTTTGATAACACCCAAAATGGTGTTATTTATCTTGCATTTATTAGGTGATTTTGTGTTAAAATGATCTTTAATTGTTTTACATAATGTCATTTGCATGTCCTTTTCGTTCTTTTTTTTATTTATATAGTATTTTAGGATGCATTTGACGTTACGAGCAAAGACGGGGAGAAAATGGCAAAAATGTGTAGAAACAAGGAAAAGGACCAGACAAGGCAAAGATCGCAGCTGAAGGGCTCAAGTTCCCAACTGCAAAGATGGTCGCGAAGTCTTCTAGTAGATCGCGAGCCAAAGCAAGAAGATCGCGACCGCGAAGATGAGCGCACTGGTCGTGAACTTTGGAAGGAGGCGCCGCTAGGAGAACAAAGAGTTTCCCCACTTGCTTTGCGGGCAATGTGAATGATGACTAAGTAAAAGATCGTGCCCGCGACGTAGAAGTTCGCGGTCGCGATCTTGCCCGAGATTTCCAGTGCCTATAAATAGAAGAGTTGCTGAAGTGGAAAGGAGAGAGCCGCCTTGGGGTGAGAAAATTAGGGTTTTGGAGTGCTTTAGAGTGAGAAACACTTTGGGAGAGCTTCATTGAAGTTCCATTCAACCCAAGGAGCAAGGAGAAGAAGGTTGATTTTATCATTCCTCTCTTCTAGTTTGTATTTTCTTCTTCTCTCTAATGACTTGAATCTCTAATGGTTGTTTAGGGTAGATGACCCTAGTTATAGGTTGTGAATGTTTGGGGTATGAATGAATGAATGTGTTTTTCTAGTAGACTCTTAATGTCACTCTTTCCTAAATGATGATGCTTGGGCAACTGGCCCTAATCTTCCCTCTTAGCCTACTTTATGCTACCGCGTTGGGTACAGAGTTCTAGGGTTAGACGGGTATGCGCCATCTGGCGAGTTTAGTTTAGATGAGTGAATGGGGGCTTATAGTGGTCGAGGCGACCGAACCCCTGCTATAGGTAGCTTTCCTAGATGAAACCCGAGATGAAACCTTGGTGTGGATGGTGGATAGTGTCCATTGAAATGAGCCATAAGCTTAATGCCCCAGATACAATAACCTAGATCAAGGTGACCGTAACATGGGTTTAGGAGAGGCGTACTCGGAGGCGTGTGGATAACGACGAAGGCCCACAGAAAAGAGCTCACTCGCCACATTTGATTAACCCTACAGTGCAACCTTAGCTAGGAGGGTTCGACCCTAGAAAACCATCTCATCCCTAGTGTCCTCCCAATCACTTGGTTGGTTGTTTATTTTGCCTTAAGAGTAGGTTAATTTAGCCAAAACTCCTCACCAAACTTCCATCCTGATTAGATAGAAGTTCGTAGCGAAGTAATAATACACTTAGGGATCCCTCGGATTACGATCGAGCCACTTTACTACAACCCTAGCCAGGTTATACTTGGCTTAGTTAGGATTGAATAGAGAGTCTGGTTTGAGTTTATAAATTTAAAGCTCGATCGCAGACCAGAGGGGTGATCAATCCTGAAACTTAAAGACGGAACCAAACGCGTCATTTTTGGCGATTCGAAGACATTTCAGGCTGGTCACGACCAGGTCACAACCGTGACCAATGGGTCACGCCCTGGAGGCCTTGACATCTATCAACTTTCTATAAATACACCTCTTGCCGCACTTTTCAATGGATAGCCGCCCTAAAGTGAGAAAGTTAGGGTTTTGGAGTGTTTTAGAGAGGGAAACACCTTCGGAGAACTTCATTGAAGATCCAATCAACCCAAGGAGCAAAGAGAAGTTGCAAGCAAGGAGAAGAAGTTTGATTCCATCACTCCCCTCTTCTAGTTTGTGTTTTCTTTCTCTCTCTATGACTTGAATCTCTAATGGTTGTTTAGGGAAGATGAACCCTAAATCATAGGTTGTGTATGTATGGGTTTTAATGAATGAATGTGTTTATCTAGTTGATTTAAATGCTATTCTAGTCTTGATTGTGTTTGGGTTAAGTCGCTCTAATCTTCTATATTGCTTTATGCTTCTACTTTGGGTATGGAGTTCTAGGGTTAGACGAGTATGTGCCATCAAGCAAATTGAGGTGAGATGTATAAATAGGGATCTATGGTGGTTAATGCATCGAACCCCTGCCATAGATAACCTTCCTAGATAGAACCAGGGATAAAACCTCAGTGTGGACGGCGGATAATATCCATTGAAAGGAGCTAGGAGCTTAATGCCCCAGATACGATAGACTACATCGAGGTGACTTATATGGGTTTAGTGGAGGCATACTCAGAGGCATGTGGATAACCATGAAAGCCCACGAAAAAGAGCTCACTCACCACATTTGACAAAACCCTACTTGACAACTATAACTAGGAGGATTCGACCCTAGGAAACCGTCTCACCTCTGGCGATCTCCCAACCACTTTGTTGGTTGTTTATTTTTGCCTTTAGAAGTAGATTAGATTAGATTCTTCACCCAAACCTTTGAACTGATTAGATAGTAGTTAGAGCGAAGTAATAGTAAGCTTAGTGATTCGGGCCCAAATGTACACATTTTACACCTCATTTCTTATTCGTTTAGCTTAGTATTTCATCGTTCCTTGACATATTTCACGCTAGGGTGTGCTTTTTTTATACATTTCAGGTCCTAGCACGTGTGGAAGGGTCGATGACGAGTTTTGGGATAATTGGAGGTCAAAAAGCGCAAAAATCGAAGAAAAGTCTGAAGTCTGTGACAATTTCCCCGTAACAGTGAAGTGCAAGCATCGAGAAAACAACCGCAATTCACGGCCGGACGAGGTAGTTCATGGTCTCTAAAAACCATGAACTTTGACCACAAACCGTGAACACCGAGGCATCCAGTGAGGTTCCAGAAGTTACTGACGACAAGGCAGTTCACGGTCTCTAAGACCGTGAACTGTGGCCATTGATCGTGAACCCAGGAAGCAAAACGGTGCGTTTTGGAGACGACTGAGTTCGCATACGCGTTTAGATGTTCACGGCCATGAACTGGGCAACGCGGCCGTGAACTGATCACTTTCGGGCAAATATGAAGACACCCGCGGGGAGAGAGAAAGGAGAGCTGATTTCTGGAGAGAAATTCAATTCCCTCTCCAGGGTTTGCCCAAGAACACCAAAGGGGAGTTCTAGTGAGAGAGGGAGTGAGCTAGTGTGATCTTGGAGCATCATTGGAGGCTTGGGTGGAGGATTCAAGCCTAGAAGAAGAAGAAAAAAAAAGATCTTCAGCTCAAAATTGTAACCCCTCTCTTCTCTCTTTAGAACTCACTCTTTTCTCTTGGTTGTTGTAGATCCCTAACTAATACTTTGTAATTACTTGTTTAGATTGACTGATTTTGTATGGGTTTGCATCAATTTGAGTATTAGAGGTGTTTTCATGGTGATTGTGCTTAGTTGTGCTTTCCAAATCTTGTGTGCTTGCCTAACCTAGATTAGAGGAAAACTACACCTTTCTAGGTAGGCTTGACAAGCTTGGTTTTCCTGGGCACTTTGTGCCTACTATCTAGGTTAGAGTTGAGCATCCCCCTTTACTCAAGTTTGCATCTAGGTTGGTTGTGATTAAGCCGCTCAAACTCCGGTCTAAGGGAGAGACCTAAGCAACCCCTAGAGAGTGAGAGGATCGATTCCATGACAAACCGATCTATAGTGAATCCATCCCGTGACAAATGGATCACTAGTTTCTCCTCCTAGCAATTCCCCTAGACTTTGTGAGTGGATCGATCCCGTGACAAATCGATCGCTAGTGAATTGATTCCATGACAAATCAATCACTAGTTGCTCACCCCCGCGGTTCACAACCACCTACGCCACACGACTCCATTCAATCCAACGAGCCATGGTAGCTAGTTAAGGGGAAGCAACTCCCGAGTGAAGCTCCCTTAGTTCGAATTTTCCTTTATTTACTTTTCTTTGCTTGTTTAGTTTGTACGTAGTTCCATTAGACCTAAACACTAAAGTTGTTTGCTAGATAACAACCTATGCGATTGAAGTAGGGGTACATGGACCGGCCCGGGTTGACAATTTATATACTTGCT